CCTTACTGGTCCTCTGAAAAAGAGGAAAGAGGAAGGTTTTCTGCATTTTGGATAGATTTCCTTGTTACATGGGGTACTGTTCACACTGATACTATGAATGCAAGTGAGCTGTATCTGTACTTGAATTTATTCTAATATAGCATATTAGCAATAACAGTAGTGACAGTGTCATAGGCAACAATGCAATAAGACAACCCCCAGTGTATTCAGATAAGAAGCCTGCAAGATGACTAAGCCACCACATCTTCTCAAACTGAAGTGCAGTGATGCTCCAACACATCTCATAATTCCTTTGCCTTAACATCTTATATACATTCTGTTCAAACTATTTCATCTGTCATCTGAATGACTTAGCTGGACACAATCTTCCAAAAACATGGTTAACCACACAGATCCAACCTATTATTTATTGATGATTTTGACCTTTTCTAGTAAGGATTGTAAGCATACACTTAATTTTGACTATACAGGAGATCTGACCTCAGCAGAAATACTATTTAGGCATATGTTTCAAATTTTTTTTCTTCATTGGGGCTACCATCATGCAAGAAAGTTCTCAAAATTTGCATTCCTGGAGTGACCATGAAAAATACAATGTAGCCTGTGTAACATTAGCTGTGTATTATTATGATAATTGAACAAAAAGTTTTATTAAGTGATGTTATTCTATTTTTAAACTCACACTAAGCATGTCATAAAACAATAACACAAAACAAGACTTGCAAGACTGAAGAAAATAACAGTTAATTAGTAGATAATTCATTCTGCAAGCACGAACTTCAAGAAATAAATTCATATTAAACTACTACTAATTGAAAGACTAAATCTACATCTGATAAATGAAGATTGCTACCTCTGAGCAAGGAATATTGCTTTTTAAAGTCTACCCATTCTTTCCTCACTCTCAATACATATTAGATAGGAACGTGACTCAGTGGATGTGCTGCCATATGCTGTATACAGCAAGAAAAGAAACCACTGATCCTTTTATTACTACATCTTATCATACTGTTTACTATAAATATTATGATATTTACCTTTTTTAAAAAAGCAAAGATACCAACTGCTTGGGAAAATGTAAAAGCAATATAGATAACAGCTAATTTCCTTACTGAAGTGGATTTCAAGTGGTGGCTATTGGAAGAAATATTCTGCACTTTAATTAGAATAAAATTTGTTATTGATTTTCATATTTGTCTTCTAGCACACATAAGTTTGGAACATATCCTGTACACATGCTATATTAATCCAAATGTATTATTAGATCAATATTTATTGTCATGGAAAGATATTCCACTGTAATGGAAAGTTGCCATATCCATATATTAAAATTTAGGCAAAATACATTAAACTACACAGATATTAATTCATGGCTTCTATATTTTTTTCCTATACCGCTACCCACATGCACATGTAACAACAACATTTAAACTTAGAATAGAATAATTTTACTTTGTTCTCTAAACCAAAGGACTATAAGGATGGGATTCAATTTATCTTATTCTGTACCTCTAACAGCAGCAGGCAATTAGCTTTGCTTACCCTCTACCCCCACCTTTTTTAGACTCCTCTTGTAGTCAGTGAGGAAAAGATACTGGGGAAAAGATACAGACTTCTACTTATCCCTACATCCTCCCGCTCACTACAAAACCAACATGAACTACTAGCTCGTAGGTAGAAGTCTCAAGTTAGATAAGGTAAATTTCACTTGAAGTCAATTGTACGCTTGGCATTTAACACATTTCAGCATAAACTATGCTGAAATGCCTATTTATTTGGAATAAAGACAGACCATTGTACTCGGGCAACTTCCCATTGACCATGTAAAATAAAGTATCTTTGGCAATCTCATGAAGAGAGTGTGCAACAAGTTGTACACGAGGTAGTACTGGCTTAGATTTTAATCTATGTGACAAAGTTTCTCCCACCCCATAAAGTGTAAAAAAACTAATAATGAAAGCGTGCTAAAAGACAACTTAAGTATTTTAAAAACTTCAGAATGCTTTTGAAAAAGTGCGTCAGCCTCTGTCATAGGAAATTGGAAAATGAACTGTTATGCATAATGAAGTCTTTCATCTGCATAAGGGGTCATCCTCTTAATTACCTGGTGGAAGGACAGTTTTGGAGCTAAATTGGTATAACAAAGACAGTCATAGGTACTAGATGCCCCTAAACTTTTAAAGTTATCTGTCAAATTCAACAGAATTATTGCTGACTCTACAACAGTGTATATTGAAATATTCATGGAAATTCCTTAATCCACTGCCTGAAATTATAAACAAACTGGCTGTTTTCCCAGTTATCCATTAACTCTAGTACAGTTGCACTGTTCACATTTTTTCAAACTGCAAACAGTGATATACGAGTCTGACACAAAATCAGGTCCTCCACTGACTTTCACTTAACAAGGCAAAACCTCAGTCATAAAGCTAACTGCATAGCCAGAAGAAAGATAAAGAAAAATACTTTTTGACTATAGAAACAAGAAAAACTTTATCTTATGTCCATTTCCATAATGGAATACAAGCACAAGGCCACCACTTAAACTTTATCCTACTTAACTGAGTCAGGGAGCATGCTCACAGGCAACAGTATAGGCAAGTAGTACTATGCATGGCTGCCTGCTAATTTGCCAACAGATGAAAATCATAATGAAAGGCTGCTATGTTTCTGCAGAAGTTCATCTGACACTGTATACATCTTTCCCATACATCTGAACAATGCTTTGTCTGCCTGAGTGGCACTGAAGTATCTACATAGCTCTTGATCTAGGTCAGGCCAATTTCAAGGATAAACACCATGACCTCTTGTGTACTACTGCAATACAGATATAATTCACATTAAACCAACTACAGTATATCCTAGTAGGCTTTCCTAGGTATTCACCTCAGATGACATTTTTTAGTTACCAATGCGTAACAGGAACAAAAAGAAATTAATTTATTAATTGCTAATGTAGCAAATAGCTGCAATCCCTTCTGTGTTCCAGCTATTCCTTAAGAGGTGGTGATTGTAGCTCTCATTCTTGCTTGATACTAGTAACAAAAGATACAGAAACAGCAGTTAAAAACCACACTTTTAACTATCTGCAACCTTTCTGAATATGCAATATATGAGCAGTGGCATCAATTTTACTTCATCTTTGATTTTGGAACAGGCAGCATTTTTATGGCTAAAGGAGAGACAGTTAAAAGTATACTTCAACTTTTGTCTCTATGGTACCATTACAATCCTATGCTATTAAATCTCACTGATTTACAAAGAATTCACTATACTTTAGTGTGACTAAAAGTTGCATCCGAGACGTCATTCCGTCTCCAGACCCTTAACTTCTTTTGGCATTATATAGTGATAGAAACTATTCATTCTTATATTGTTGAGTGCAGCAATCTGCATTTTGGCCTAGCACTGCGGCTACTCCAACCCCCGCCAACAAGCACTGCGGCTACTCCCACCCCAGCCACAAGCACCGTGGCTAAACCAGAGAACCAACCTGCACCGGTATCAGTTGCCCCTACACAGAAGAAAAAATACACAAGAAAATCAGCTTGTTTAGTAAGGGATAAAGATGAACCAGGGCCATCACGAGAACCAGAGGAGGAAGAACCGATAAACGCGATGGTAACCACCCAATCCCTATCCCTAAGTGAGCTGCGACATATGCGAAAAGATTTCAGTCGTCATCCAGGCGAGCACATCATCACCTGGCTGCTCCGATGCCGGGATAACGGGGCCAGTAGCCTGGATTTAGAGGGTAAGGAAGCCAAGCAGCTGGGATCCCTTTCTAGGGAAGGGGGCATTGACAAAGCAATTGGAAAAGGGGCAAAAACGCTCAGCCTCCAGAGGCGACTTCTGTCAAGTGTGAAGGAAAGGTATCCCTTCAAGGAGGATGTTATATACCGCCCAGGCAAATGGACCATCACAGACAAAGGTATCCAGTACCTGAGGGAATTAGGCATGATGGAGGTGATTTATAGTGACCTAACAACGAGCAGTTACCCAAAGATCCAGATGAAGTCAGGTGCACGACCCATGTGGCAGAAGGTGGTACAGAATGCACCAGCATCGTATGCCAACTCATTGGCAATACTGGCCTAGAAAGATGAAGAGGCACCAAAGGTGGATGAAGTGGCTAGCCAACTGTGGAAATACAAAAAAAAATCTCTTCCTCCCTACGGGCCTGTGTCTTGACTGTGGAAAAACTGTCTGAAAAACTGTCCCAAGAGTTCCAGCAACTCAGAGGGGGTATGTCCTACTCCCCACCTGTACAGACCAGTATCTCAGCCATTAGGAGTCAACATCCTTATGCTCGAGAGAGGATATAGAGGATACACACCATGGGGCACCCTGTGGTTCTACCTGCGCGACCACAGAGAGGATGTGAGGAAGCGGGATGGGAAATCCACCTTGACCCTAGAGGCACGGGTGCGTGAGTTGCAAGGAAAAACTTTTACAAAAGGCGGTTCTCCCAGGAAACTTGCAGCTCGACTTCCCAGAAATGTGCCCCAGACAGAGTAAGAGGTCTAATTTTACTTCCGATCTTGATCAAGGGACTTTTGATTCACATTTACAAGGAGTGACCAACGAATACTATGACCAGTATTAGAGGGGCCTGCCTCCAGCCATGTGGACGAAAGCGACAGTCGGGTTTACTGGACTGTGGATTCAATGGCCTGGCACATCAGACCCACAGGAGTATAAGGCTCTAGTGGACACTAGCGCACAGTGTACCCTAATGCCACCAAGCTATACAGGGACAGTACCTATCTGCATTTCTGGAGTGTCAGGGGGATCCCAACAGCTAACCGTATTGGAGGCCGAAGTGAGCCTAACTGGGAATGAGTGGCAAAAGCACCCCATTGTGACTGGCCCCGCCGCTCTGTGCATCCTTGGCATAGATGACCTCAGGAGAGGGTATTTCAAGGACCCAAAAGGGTACTGGTGGGCTTTTGGTATAGCTGCCTTGGAGACGGAGGAAATTAAACAGTTGTCCACCTTGCCTGGTCTCTCAGAGAACCCTTCTACTGTGGAGTTGCTGAGGGTCGAAGAACAACAGGTGCCGATCAGGTGTCGAAGAACAACCATGCGCCGGTGGCAATATCGCACCAACCGAGACTCCCTGATTCCCATCCATAACCTGATATGTCGACTAGAGAGCCAGGGAGTGATCAGCAAGACTCGCTCACCCTTTAACAGTCCCATATGGCCAGTGCGAAAGTCTAATGGGGAGTTGAGACTAACAGTGGACTATCATGGCTTGAACAAAGTTACACCACCGCTGAGTGCTGCCGTACCAGACATGCTAGAACTTTAACACAAACTGGAGTCAAAGACAGCCAAGTGGTATGCCACAACTGACATTGCTAATACATTTTTCTCAGTCCCTTTGGTAGCAGAGTGCAGGCCACAGTTTGCTTTTACTTGGAGGTGTGTTCAGTACACCTGGAACCGACTGCCCCAGGGGTGGAAACACAGCACCACCATTTGCTATGGACTGATCCAGATGGCACTGGAACAGGGTGAAGCTCCAGAACATCTGCAGGATAGTGATGACATCATTGTGTGGGGCAATACAGCAGAAGAAGTTTTTGAGAAGGGAAAGAAAATGGTCTAAATCCTTCTAAAGGCCGGTTTTGCCATAAAACAAAGTAAGGTCAAGGGACCTGCACAGGAGATCAGGTTTTTAGGAATAAAATGGCAAGATGGACGTCGTCAGATCCCAATGGATGTGATCAACAAAATAACAGCTATATCCCCACCAACTAGCAAAAAGGAAACACAAGCTTTCTTAGGCATTGTGGGTTTTTGGAGAATGCATATTCCAAATTGCAATCAGATCATAAGCCCTCTCTATCAAGTGACCCAGAAGAAGAATGATTTCAAATGGGGCCCTGAGCCAACAACAAGCCTTTGAACAAATTAAATAGGAGATAGTTCACGCAGCAGCCCTTGGGCCAGTCCAGGCAGGGCAGAATATTACAAATGTGCTCTACACCGCAGCCAGGGAGAATGGCCCTACCTGGAGCCTCTGGCAGAAAGAGGCTCAAGGTCGACCCCTAGGGTTTTGGAGTTGGGGATACAGAGGATCCGAAGCCCGCTATACTCCAACTGAGAAGGAGATACTGGCAGCATATGAAGGGGTTCGAGCTGCTTCAGAAGTGGTTGGTACTGAAGCACAGCTCCTGCTGG